CCTAGTAGCTTCTCGTTACTAGTAGTACGGCCAGGAGCCCCTAGTAGCTTCTTGCTCCTAGTAGAAAGGCCAGGAGCCCCTAGTAGCTTCTTGCTCCTAGTAGTACGGCCAGGAGCCCCTAGTAGCTTCTTGCTCCTAGTAGAAAGGCCAGGAGCCCCTAGTAGCTTCTCGTTCCTAATAGGCTTCTCTAGAGCAAAATTTAAATTCGGAGTTGAAGAAACGACGCCATTGCTAGGTTGGAGGCCATTGCTAGGTAGGTTGGAGGACACGAGAAGTGTTGGTGGTCTTTCCAAGGGGAATCCTTGAGGACTTCGTGAAAACCTGACGAGTTGGGCGGGTTAGGCCTCAATCAAACACGCATTCTTTTGAACATGTGGGCCCTGCCAAGCGTATGTTTGAAGTAGATGACTTCAATTGAGCCTAAGGCCCATAAGAAAAACAACTAGAAATCGGTCTACTTGCGGTGTAACCGTGTAACATCTAACCTCAAGAGCTTTGAGTTTGTCGCAAAAACTCCAACCAAAACATAAAGCAAGGAATGAGTTCAGCAAAACTTGGCAAAAGAACGGGTTCGCCTGGGAGCTCTGAGGAGAGACTGCGCCAGATTCCATGGCATATCGATCACCACGTGGAGTGTGCGAGTCAGGTGACGGATTAAGTAGTGAAGCACCCATGTCATAACAGGTGGAGTGAGAGCTTTTATTGCTAAGAGCACTAACAGCGATGGCCTCCAACCTACAAGGGACTCCAAAAGGAGGAACCAAGAGACGCCCTTCTGGTCCAAAACGTTGGTACCGATCTCAGCGTCAAGCGAATTGAGTGCGTCAATCTTTGCTCGTGTGAAGCTGGAAGCATCAAAGTCTAGTGGTACCGGCTCGGCAACTGTGGCTAAATGCCTGACCCCGAACTTTGTTCCTAGTGGCGTCCTTGCTCCTAGTAGTACGGCCAGGAGCCTCTAGTAGCGTCCTTGCTCCTAGTAGCGATGCCCTTTGCTCACTCCTAGTGGCTAAATGCTTGACCCCAAAATTGGCCCCGAAACATCCCCAAACTCTCAATGTGTGATGCTGACACCCTCCAGCGTATGAGACTTGGAAGATTCTCGAGTCGTCTTTCACAGACGAAAAGTTCCTCAGAGTTGGAACATGTTCGTATTATATGGAAATGCTTGTGCTTCTGGGATTCTGGGGACATCACTCGCCGCTTTAGGACTCAAACTCGGCCTCTGCCACTCTCCAGCGACACATTGATCGCCCGATCCATGAACTGACCAACGAACCACTTTCCAAAACAAAGGTGGAACTTGGTGCAGGGTAAAGGGGCAAGGATGGAACGTGTTACATGAGAGCAGGGTAACCATCTTGTTGGCCTCATCGATTTCAGACACAGTCGGTTCACAGATCTATCCTAGGGAGCTCTGGGCCGAAGAACTTCTGTACATGGGAATGTCACACCAAGACTTCCGGGGCCGCCAACTAGCCATTGGTGTTAAGCAAACGACACTCCAGTGGCAGACGTTGCAAAAATGCCGGAAGTCCGAGATTGCGGCAGCCCACATTGCTTTTATCGGCACGAAATTGTTCTTAAAATGCAGGCGTTAGTTAGATTCCTGCTGCATACCATCGCACCAGGGTGCGGGGCCTCCCTCACTTTAAAAATCAGAAGGGAGACACTGTGTGCGGTCAATAGGACAAGGTCCTGCGGGCAGCAAGGAACTATGGTATGGCCGGAAACTGTTTCGAAGCCCTGGCGGAAGCCGAATTGGAAGCAAAGGAGCGCAATTTCGATAGATGCTCCCAAGTCTTGCAGATATTCATCACCAAACCTTTCTCTCACCCGGCAGAAAACGGCAAAAGATGCAAAAGGCACATCAGAATGCATGAAGACTGAACAAAGAAATGTACTAAAATATTGAGAAGCAAATCCTCAAGCAATCCAGCAACTTACCCAAATCCCGGCTGTCCTCTCGGCTACAAAGAGCCCCAAAGGCGGCGCCCACTTCTGCACGAAACATGTCCGGATTCACGTTTCAATAGCTCTATGTAGTGAACTTTGAAGGATTGTCGCATTGCATCCGCGATGTATGGACGGTGTACAATACCAGTGGCATCTGCACGAGTTCAGGCCACAGTTCTCTGTTTCTCTCTCCCAGTGGTGCCCGGCTAGGCCTTTGTGAGATGCTTCGGCTGCTTTCAAAGGCCACAGCTTCCATCTCCATCTCTGCCATGGCTGCCTCCAGGAACACGCTGCTCCGGAGCTCCTAGCACAGCATCGCACAGCATAGGAAGAGAGTGCGGGACAGTGCGGGAGTCGAAGATTGTCATTCAAAGAGATCTGTCGGATCAGTCTGTCTTTGGAATAGGATTTCCAACTGCAATCCGTGCAGCCTAGTATTTCAGGAATCCCCACGATGCACTGGGTAAATTCGTAGGCTCTCTTCTCATTTCCCATCCAAAGCACCAACAGGTCTTTTCCAAGCCTTGTTGTGGAACAAATCACCAGTCGCAAGCGGCTCCCTATTATTCCCCTCTCTATCTCTGTCTCTATGGGCACTGTCGTCTATCTACCAGGCTCCGAGTACCCGACCAAAAAAGCACCACTTGCTGATACACTTGGGGGGAGAAGTCGCACAGTAGCCATAGCCCTTCTTTCACAGCGACTTCTATCAACTCGAGCCGACCGAACGAGCTTCCTTCGGCCCTGCACGTTCTTCCAGCGGGGCCGTCAAGGCCGCAGTGATCTGCAACCTCGGCAGTTCGAACTCAGGAAACCGGTTTGGCTTGTTTTTGTTCGTCGACGAAGTGAAAACAACCGAATAACTTGTTGAGGAAGAACCCTATGTGTGTGTGTGTGTAAATATATAGAGAGAGAAGAAAAAAATGTAATTCTGGTCATTGTAGTGGCGGGATTCTGAAACTGAGATTGCGGAATCCCACCAAATGAGACCAAATGGTTGCGGACTCCTGTGCACTTGCTTTTCGTCCGACTTTAAGCTCAAAAAAAGGCCACTTGCGGAGATCTCCTATGTCCATCCGCACGCTAGTAGTAACAAGTGCCATGCTTCTAGTAACAAGTGCCTTACTAGTAGTAACAAGAAGCTAGTAGTAACAATGCTTCACGCTGCACTCGGCGCTTCCGAGGGACGCTTCCGGCTCGGCGCGGCGCTCCCGCAGCGCGCGGCGCAGCACCTCCGCCAGCTGCGGCCCCTCCAAGGGCAGCAGCACCTGGAAAACGTTCGAGAAAGGACGTTCGAGATGGATGGATCGGGTGGAACGACTGGGTGGAACGACTGGGATCAAGAAAGCTAGTTATGTAGATTCTAATTAAATTCGATTGTGTCTAATAGCTTCTTGTTACTACTAGTAAGGCACTTGTTACTACTAGCGATGCGCTTGTTCCTAGTAGCTTATTGTGTCTAATAGCTTCTTGTTACTACTAGTAAGGCACCTGTTACTACTAGCGTGGC